GATTAGACATCCAAAATTCGTCTCACGGGGCTGAAGTCAAGGTGTGTCGGCAGGACTGCTTCCTTCTGGAAGCTCCAGGGGAAAATCATTCTCTTGCCTTTTTCTAGCTCCCTTGGTTCTTAGCTCTCTCCATCCTCACAGCCAGCAACTGTCATGTTGCCTTCCTGAACACAGACCCTCCTGCCACTCCCCCTTTCATACATGAGGACTCATGCTTACTTTGGGCCCATCTGGATAATCCTTAATTTAATCACATCTGCAAAATCTCTTCTGCCTGTTAGGTGACTTACCTAGAGGTTCCAGGGATTAGGACATCCTGGGGAGGGGTGTGGGCATTATTCTACTCATCAAAATATTGTTGGCCAACTGCAGGGGTGAAATGAACAGCATCCTACTACACCACCTGCCAGGCCTCTGCAGCCCTTCCCTGAGCTTAAAAGGGTCAATGTTCAGCATTTCCTTTGTTCCTCCCAGACAGGTAGGAGGCATGGACACTCTAGGATGGGTTGAGCTCCGTGTATCTGGAGAGCAGTCTCGACTAGAAGCATCCGGTTCATTCTTCCTTTCTGTGGTTCCAGTCCCAACTCAATCGCTAGCTATGGATGATTCAGTATTGCTTCTAAGCCTCAGTGTTCCCATCTGTGAAATGGGGAAAAAAGTAGCCGTCACTTATCAAACCCAAATTCCGTGACCTGAATTAAAAACCCCACTGCTGGCCTTTATTTGCTGTGTAACTTTGGGCAAATGGTGTAACTTCCTGATTTATTTGTTGGGGTGATGGGGTAATAATCATAGCAGCTGCTATGTTCCATGCATCACATGCAGTGGATGGATTACATGAGACAATGTACGTAAAGGGTTTATTTGGCAATAGTCCTTGGCACACCATAGTGCTCAACAAAAAGCATATCTATTTTTTTTCCTTATTTCTCCTCTTCTTCTTTGTCTTCAGCATTTTTTTTTCTCTCTTACTTTTGCCCCTCCTCTTCCTTGGCTTTATCATCCCGTTTTTACCTGGTGTCTCTGTGTTAAATGTTTCTAGATATTTTTCGCACATATGGCTCTTCTGTTAGCCTGAGCTTCTTCCCACCAGGTCAGAGCCCAGGCTTCTCATTTCAAAGCTCTATGCAATGCACATGCTTTATTAATGTTGGTTCCTTGTGTCAAGGCGTCTGTCTATCCGTCTGGCCTCTTGAGGGGGTTTCGAAGACTGAGGCCCCTTTCTGTATGAGAGAGAGCTGCTGAGAAGGCATAGACAGGGAACTGCAGAAGGAGAAAAGAACCCTCCCTCCCTCCAGCACTCCCTCTCTGTGGAGCACTGGAAATGAAAACATCTGAGAACAGATTTCTATTATTCTACCCCTGGGACTGAAGGCACCAGGGACGCACACAATTCTGCCTCCGTGTCTGCATGACTTGTTATCAGAAAATTAGAGTAGAAAAGAAGCTTTTGTTCAGCTATGGAGACATCTTAATAGGCGCTTTGATTGTTAAACAGAAGTTTCTGTATCAGTTTAATTGCTGTAAATGCTGTTTGCCTTCTCTGTTATGATAAGGCCTGGATTTTCATAGATTCCCCCCCCCCATTCCCTTTAAACAGTTTTCCTTTGCTTTAAGGCTTGAGTTGTTGGCAAGTTTAATGAAATCCACACGAAGGAAGTGAAGAGAGGATCTCTAAGTTCAGATCTGCACACCCACGTCCGAAGCCGTGTGCTGGTTATTATTGCTTGAGACTAATGATGCTGTAGCTGTGCTGCGTAATTGACGGAATTCACCCCTCCAACCAGATACCGGGAAATGAAACCAAACGACTCAACTTAATTACTTCTACTTCTCGAGAAGGGGCTGTAATTGAGAATAACAGCATAACCGGGATATGAATCTAAAAGTGAGATGTGCTTATAATAAAAGAGGATTTGTTCTTTGCGGACTTGAGCCTCAGAAATATCGTCTTGGCTTCTTGGGGTGGGGGGTAGGGAGGAGGGAGGTGAGTGGCTAGGGAAGTGGAAGACATCTCGGTGGGGGATTCTCAACCTTGGCACTTCTGACATTCGGGGCTGGTTAACTCTTTGATGTAGGGGCCAGCCTGCGCATAGTAGGATGTTGAGCTGCATCCCTGTCCTCTACCTGCTGGGTGCCAGCAGCACTTCCCCACTCCACTGTGACAACCAGAATTATCTCCAGATATTGCCCAATGTGTCCCCTGGGGGCCAAAAGTCACCTTGGTTGAAAACACTGGACTTAGGAGCAATTGCAGAATTACCCCTCGAGGTTCTGTGGCTGCCTAGTTGTGTGACCTGTAGGGTGTCACTGCATTTCTCTGAGTGCCCGTGTCTTCCTGTGTAGGGAATAATGAGAACACTGCGAGAGGCATAGTTTCCAGGTCTAAACTGTGCAGCATAATGCCTAACACATATTGAGCGATCAATTAACTCAGTGCTTCTATCATAATACGCTTGGGCTCAGCAAACATGTAGGAAGTACTTTGCTCCTGGTGATGCAAAGATGAGGATGAGGTCCCAGTCCTTGCAGAAGGGGCCCATTTATGCACACTTGTTGGTACCGCTTTATTCTTCACCTGTGGCAGACATTGCTAATCAATCTTGGTGTTCTTTTCTATTGGGTCTCAGAATCATTGTCAACACACTTTTCTAGACAGCTACTACGAATGTCCCATGAGATGAAGCCCATTCGGCACTCCTAGTTTTGTAGATTCCCCGTGACGAGGCTGTGTATCTGAGCTAGCTAACACTTTCTCTTCAGCCCAGCTGTCCCATCTGCACCTGCCCCAGCGCTGGAGAAAGCATTTTAAGGAATTAGCAAGTAGCATCCGTCTTCCCAAATCAGACTTAAGTCCCCAAATGAGATAGGAATGGAAAGAAGACTCTTTTTTGAAAATTTGGGTTTTTTTTTTCTTTCTTGTCTTTCTTGTTTCCCTCAGAAACTGGAAAAAGTGGCAAAATGGCTTGGACTTCCTTTTAGTTATACTAAAGGAAATTCCACTGGCTATGATGCTGATTGATATATCACGCTGTCTCTCTCGTGGCTTTTCTCTGCCCTTTGGGCTTGGAAAATCACTAGCTCTCCCAGAAAGGGTCCCAGTTTTACAAGGGCAGAATTGGAGTTTCTGGAAACAGATCTCAGGTGGCTGTCGACAGCGTCATTGGACAGAAGAGAGGAGTGAATGGGTTGGGGGTCAAATGTTCCCTGACATCCCCAGCTCCCGGTGAACACACCACTCCATAACAATGGCTGTGAAAAATGAGGTAGGTATTTGTAGCCCGGAAAACAGGGAGCTGGCTCCATCTACCTGGCCTAAGAAAGGAGAGCTGGTGTGTGGATCAGCCACTTGCTTTCTCTCTCCCTCGCTGGTGGAGACTTCACACACAGCACAGCTTCATTTCTGCTGTTGTTTCACACCTCCCCAGGGCCTTTGAGGGAGGGATGTGAGGAGGGATGTGAGGGCGGCCGGCTGGTGGAGTGAAGGTGGGGGCTGGTGCTCAGCATCTGCGGAAGAAGTCCCAGAACTCAGTCAGAGGTGGAGTGATAGCAGAAGTCCCTGGGATTTAGCCTCAGGCATGAAAGGAAAGACCAGATGGAGCCAGGCATCCTGAATGAAATCTGTGTGATTTTTTTTGTTTCTTCTTCATTCCCATTCATCCATCAGCCTATCTATCTATCTATCTATCTATCTATCTATCTATCTATCATCTATAGATACATACTTCTACCCACCCACCAGTTCATCCATCCATCCATCCATCCATCCATCCACCCACCTACCATTCCATCCAACCACCTACACACCCATCCATCTACCTATTCATCTGTCTTTCCACCTACATATCCAATCACTTGTCCACCCAATTATCGAAATATTCATCCATCCATCCACCTACCAATCCATGTATCCATTCATCCACCCATCCATCCATTCATTCATCCAACCACCCACCTACCCATCTGACCATCCACCCACCTATCTAAACATTCATCCACCCATCCCTCTATCCACTCACTTACCAATCCATCTACTCATCCATCTATCCACCCACCCTTCCTTTCACTCCTCAATCCATCCACTTGTTTCTTTATTTTTTTTAGAGAGAAGTGGGGAGAGGAGCAGAAGAAAAGGGGAGAGAGAAACTTATGCAGGCTCCACATCTGGCATGGAGCCTGACTCAGGGCTCGATCTCACAACTCTGAGATCATGACCTAAGCCAAAATCAAGAATTGGACAAATCAAGAATCTTGACCAACTGAACCACCCACCCCTCCATCCACTTATTTTAATGAGTTTAGATGGTACATAGTTGGACATAGTTACTGACAATATACAGAGAGTGATATCAGATTTCTATATAGAGTGTGCTTTTAAAATAAATGTATTTAAACAAAGAGTTAACTAAAAATAGGAAGTAAATAATTTTATGGAGTGTACGGGACACGACAACTTGGAAAGTGGTCCGTGCATGATTGGTGTTTGGAGTCTACCTCGTTAGAACTTTGCACACAAGGGCGTATGCTCAAGGGGCTCTCAAATCTAGATTCACAGCTGCTATGCAGCCTCCAAGGTGTATGACCTTGCAGCAATGACTTCCTCTCTCCAAGCCTCAGTTTCATTGTCTGGAGGGTGGGGATGCTAACAAACCCTTTCTTTGGGGTTGTTTGGAGGATGTAATGAGCTAAAGCATGTGAGTCACTTACCGCATGCCAGGCACACATTAAGCACTCCATAAATGGAAACAATGCTCATTTTTATGCCTTCCACAGCTGGCTTCTTTCAAGGCACTCCCTGGCTGCCCTGCCCAGGGGAACTTGCTTGAGTCCAAGGAACACATGTTAAACCAATGTTCCATTTAGCTTTGGTTTAGCAAGTGATGGTAGTGGTCACTGACGCTGGTGAGCCTCCCTCTTCCTTCCAGAGGGCTTGGCTGGAGCCTGCCCCATCCTCTGACCCTCTGTGTAATCGGCTCTTCTCCTCTCTTCTGCCCCTGCAGACACACTGTCCGTGCCGCGCTGGTCCCCACAGATCCCTCGCAGAGACCTCGGCAACTCCATCAAGCACAGGTAGGCTGGATGCCTGTGGGCACTGGTGCCCACCTCTGGCACAGTGAAGGCTGGCATCTCTGGCTGCCAGAGTGGGCAAAGGCTGGGCAGATATTTTGCTCTAGCTCCTGTGTCACCATGCCCCTCTCTCCTCTGCCAACTGAAACCTCATCAAGGCATCTTATTAACCTGGCCCTTATAAAATTAGCACATAATGGTTAAAAACCAGGGCTTTGGAGTCTGTCTTGTCTTCCAGTCCCAGCTAGCAAAGTGTTGCAACCTTATTGAAGTTACTTAACCTCTCTGAGGTTCAGTATTCTCATTAGATAATTCTGCCTACGTATGGGGTGTCATGAGGATCAAATGCGATAATATACATAATGTGCTAAGCAAAGGGCACAAAATAATCATTCAGTAAATGGTATCATTGTCAAGACAAATGCTTTACATCCTAATTTTGGGCCTCCCTACTTAGAAAGCAAGATTGCATACTGAACTCAGAGACGCTCGCTCTCTGTGGAACGTAGGTCAGCCCAGAGCTCCAGCCCTGATGGGTCTGTGGAAATAATCTCACCTGGGGTACACCTGTCCTTTCTGGAAGAAGACTTGTATCTACTAGACATCCCTTATAAGAAGTTCTTTAACTTTCCAGATTTAACTTTCTACATTTTATGTCATTATCTTCACAGTCTCCTCACAAACTTAGTGGGGTAAGTAGCACAGGTGTGGTCATGTCCAGGTGATAGTTAGGGAAACTGAGGCCCTGCACGATTTAAATGACAGGCCTACAGTCTAACTGACCTCAGTCCTCTGTGTTCTTTGGACACTGCTGCTCAGAGTTTTCTTTGTACTGAGGCCTCTGGGAACTAGTGGACGGGGCTGTTTACTCATTCATGGATTCTTTGAGCTAGTATTCGCGGAGAATTTCTGTGCCTGGGCAGCAGCACGGTACAAGACGTAGGGCCTGTGCCCTTGGGGAGCTTGCGGGTCCGGTGGAGGGTTAGGCGGCTAACAGCCCATGACAGTCCATGGGATCGAGGCTGCAAGGCTGGGGACAGTATCAGGGGCAGACACATCGCCACAGGGTGGGGGGCTGGGGGGCGAGGCCCGAATGAGCACACTCTCCCGGAATTGCACCTCCTCAACAGTTTTGGAAGAAACATGTTGACAGGATAGTTGTTAGGACTCAAATGAAGAACCAGTGGAGGAAGCAGTGAGAAACATGAGATAGACGCCTCGATGGTCAGCAGGGAGATGCAGGCAGATGCAGGGAGATGCAGGGAGATGCAGGGAGAAAGGCATCACAAAGAAGGGCCTTTTCTGTCGGCTTCCCCACTGCCCTCCCTCAGTTCCCTACTTGAATCCATCCCACCTCGGGATTGGCCACACCCCTGGCTCAGCTCCTCCCCCGGGTTGGCCACACCCCTAACTCGGCTCCACCCTTAGATGGCCTCACCCCTGAACCCCTGATCTGCTCCTCTGGGTTGGCCACACCCCTGGCTCGGCTCCACCCCTGGATTGAAGCTGCCCCCCCCCCTTGCCTTCTGGCTCAGCCTCATCCCCCAGCTCTAGCAACCTACTGTTAGATCTGGTGTCACCTCAGATTCAAACACTGATTCCCAGGGGAAAGATGATGATCTTGGGCATCAGGAATGTCTTCTTAGAGGAGCCGGGACTTGGAATGACCTGTTACTCTTTAGTCTCACCCTGTTTCTCCCCAGGGCTCCATGCCAGAAGGGGGAAACCTAGACTCAGCCAGTCTTGGTAAAGAAATTAAAATCCCATTCCATCCATTGTCCTTAGAGTCCCCTCAGCCAGAGCTCAGAAGGAGAGAGCGCTGATCCCAGAGATAGGAGAGGACTGGAAAGGAAAGAGAACACCTTGCTACGAGGCTCACGCTGCCTGCCCTCCATCCCCACGCTGCTGGCTGGGGGGTGAACACAAGCCTATTCTGTTCATTCCTAAGGGCTGCCAAGTCCCACAAGGTAGACCCTGCCAAACTCGCTGGCCCCGTGGAAGGGGCAGAAAAAGGCTGGACCACCCCCCAGTCCAGGACTGGAGGGGGTTTCCTTAGCCACAAGAGTCTCTGTTCTGAATATTGCAATTTGGCTTCGGTATGCAGGTTTGGGCTGCAGCTCATTTCACTTGGAGGGTGACTGACCCAAATCAAGCAAGTTGGTAGAGCACAGGGATGCAAACTTGCCCTCCGAATTCTCAAGCACCAACTTACATAATCACTTCTGATTTTCATTTTGACACTTGGAGGCAGTCGAGATTAGATACAACTCCAGCTGAAGGTGGCAAAAATTGAAAATGAAAATTAACTCTGACCCGGCAACCTTCAATACTTTTCTGTGGCCTGGCCCCGCTGCCGCCTGGTATCTCTTGGGGGAAGAAAGCACCCCAGCAGCTGCAGGATCCCCGGGAAGTTAATCTAAGGCACCTCTGTTCCTGTGGGTGCCTGGTTCCTAGCTGTGTATCGGAGGCCTCCAAACTGCCTTATGTTTGCAGCAAGTCGTGCTGGTGGCAGAGGAGGATGAGCTCACCATCTGCAAGGGCTTTCACTTTCGGGACTCTGCTTCTCAGGTTTGCAGCCTGAGATCTTCTGGGAGAGGCCCTTGTCAAAGCTCCCCAGGTGATGTGCTGGGCAGTGAGGGGCAATGGGTCTCCCAGACTCTTGAGAGGCTCCACCTTGCTTGTGGTTCTCTGAGGACATTCTAGCTCCATCCATCACTCTGTCCCAGAACTGAACTTGACCTATAGCCAGCCACCAGGCAAGACTTGCTGAACTAATGAAGGACTGTCACAAATGTCCAGGTAACAATATAGTCACAACCCCACTGGGTGAGTGCTGAGTATGCACCAGGCACTGTGTGAGGCTCTTGACATTCCTGGCCCATTGGTCCTCCCAGCAACCTGTGAGATTGGCTATCATCTTCACTTTACAGATAGGGAGACTGAGGCTCGAGTGGTCTAAACAAATTGATGAAGTCACCCATCTCAGAAGCAGCATGACTAGAATCCAGGGCCTGTGTGCTTACCCTTTAAGCAGCTCATCCTTCCAGAGAGCAGCTCGGTCACCACCACCTTGCCCTTGAATGTTTTCTATCTCTTTTCCACAGGTTTTCCACCAAGTACTGGATGTCTCAGACATGCACAGTCTGTGGGAAAGGAATGCTTTTTGGCCTCAAGTGTAAAAATTGCAAGTAAGTGGCTGTACCTGGAAGCATGTTTTCACAGTACCTGGTGTCAGCGAGAGCCATGCTGGGCTTTGAAATAGTTTACCGGAGTTTGGTGTCTTGACTTTCAGGAGGATTGCTTGCTCCATTTTTCAGAACTGTGTCTTGAGTGAACCTCTACCCTTGGCCATGGGGTCAAGGAGAATAATTCTGAATAAGAACCAGAGCTGATGGAAGGTGCTGGAAATAACACTGCTGATGCCCAGTGGATGTTCCTAGCATCTAAGATTAGGGGTTGGCATACTTTTTGTCTAATTGACCAAGATAGTGAATACTTTAGGCTTTGTGGAGCTGAGGATCTCTGTTACAACTACTCAACTCTGCCAAGTGACCATAAAGCAACCAAAGACAATATATAAACAAATGGGTGTGACAAATTTCTTTATTCCAAAAGCATCTTATTTGCAAAAATATCCTGCGGGCTGGCTTTGGCTCCTCAGCTATAGTTTGCCAATTCCTGAGTTAGAGTTTGTGAAGTTGTTTCCCCTCTGAGGGGGTATTTGATTCTCCCCATCTTACAGATGTGAGAGCTGAGTCTTGGCAAGGATCAGCCACCTGCCTGAGGTCACAGCCCTGACCCCTAACTCCTCTTCCTTCCGTAGCGGCATGTTGGCCTCCAGTTCTGGTTTAGAAGTCTCGACCACACAAACCTCCCCCACTTTCACCCCCCCGTGCCAGGTCATGGCTGGCAAAAGGCAGGGCGGTAGGAGAGAAAATTGTGATGTCCAACGTGGGCTCTGGAGTCAGAATAAAATGGGTTCACACCTTGGCTCTGTTCCTTTCTGGCTGTGACCTAGGGCAAGTCACCTCACATTTCTGTTCTGCATTTTTTGTTTTATCTGCACGAAAGGAATTATCATCATCCCTGGTGGATTTGGTAGTAAGCACCCAGTAAATCAGTACTCCAGGACACAGCACGGTGCCAGGCACGGAGTTCTGGCCTCTGTCAGAGGTCTCAAATGCCTTTCTGCCTGGCCTCTCTCTCTCCTTCCATAAACATGTGTGAAATATCTCTCTAGTCCAAATCCTATAAGATTGTCAATAACATTTAACTGTTTCTAAGGGTGACAAATGGAAATGCCTCTGTCTGCTTTATAGGAGCCATTTAGTTTAAAAGAATGTAGGAATTGTTCTTTCCTTGTCCAGCCTAGGCTGGCAAACTCCTGTTTGGGCTCCTTCCAGCCTCTCCACGTCCCTGCCCCTTGATACAGGGGGAACAGCAGTGGTGGCGGGCGCCCACTCCCCCCCACCCCCAGCCTGGGTGTCTCACCTGAGGCATGGAGGTGAGGCTGAGCTCCCTTCCCTCCTGGAGTCGCGGAGGATTCATTAGTTCCAACCCTAAAGAGCCATAGGCTCCCAGGCAGAAGAGGAGGTGGGGAAAAAGGACCAAGCATTACTGTTTAGAGACCGGCATCCTCACCTTGGTCTCCCACTGACCCTGGCTCTCAGGTGAGCCCTCAGCATGGTGACCCCTGGTCTTTCTGACTCGGAGAGGCACAAAGCCAGGTCCTCCGGTCCATCTTGAGGGATGTCTGATAGCCCCCCCCCCCACCAGCAGTTCTGGGGGTCTGCCTCGTCCACGTGTAGTCACACCGTGTTCTGAGAAGCTGCAGCTCTCACATCCTCACACCTGCCGAGTGGAGGCTTTGAAGTCAGGTAATTAGGTGACAGGGACGCAGCCAGGAGTCAGTGAGGCTGAACACCTTCTGAGCCGTTTTAATTTTCAGCCCTAGAGGCAGAACTCATGAGGCGGCCTTTGCTCCTGCTCTCTGTTCTAGAAGTAATGAACAAAGACTCAGACCCTGCCAGTGGTTGGGGGAGGAGGCTGGGGAAGGGATGGGGACCGGGGCGAGAAGCGCAGGGCAGGGTTCGGAAGCAGCCAGAACCGAGTGTGAGGCCCAGCTCCACTGCTGCATTCTCTGTATGAGCTTGAGCCAGTGACTTCTCAGTCATCTCGGCACTCAGTTTTCTGATCTGCAAAGTGGGTGTGATGCTGGCATCCTCCACAGGACCGTTGGAAGGAGCCGATGAAATGTTCTTGCCCCAGATGACAATGTTCTGCCGAAGAACATTCTTCCTCACTCCATCTGGCGCAGAAATGGCTCCTGGTGTGTAAGAAGCAGAATTCAAGCCATGGTTGGATTGCACTGTTGATCTCACCAGTTTGCTCAGATGGTAGAGAAGCTCCCAGAACAGTGAAAGCGGAGTCTGTATTGCTCTGAAGGTCCGGCATGCTTCTGGTTTTTTGACACTCGTGTGACTACAATTTTGTGCTTTTGTAGCTACAACTGAGCTTAGAGTTTTCTCCAGGACATAATTAGCGTGCTTTACTGCTATCACCAGCTGAAGTGTGGATTCACTCTTCCATGAACCAGATCCTGCATTTTTTACATGAATTATGCCTTTTACTTTTACTTTTTTTAAGGATTTTATTTATTTACTTGAGAGAGAGAGCAAGCGAGAGAGGGAGCACAAGCATGGGGAGGGGCAGAGGCAGAGGGAGAAGCAGAGTCTCCACTGAGCAGGGAGCCCAGATGTAGGGCTCGATCCCAGGACTGCAGGGTTGTGACCTGAGCCAAAGGCAGACGCTTAACCGACTGAGCCACCAGGTGCCCCTGAACTGTCTTTTATATGTGTTTTCAAACATTGGCAAGATTTTGGACATACTAATGGGCTGGCAGGTGGGTGGGGGACAGAAATAGGTAACACACAGAGGCCATTGTCAAGGAGCTTAGGGGAAGACACACAGAGAGAGAATGAATTTCGGTGGAACCGAAGCGCTTGCATGAAGAGCCGTGACAGTAACATTGCAGAGAGGTAGTACCAAGAGTGCAGAGGCAGCTTTTCAGAAAAAAATGGGCAGAACAGTTTGTTCATTTACTCGGCTGTCTATTGAGCACCGACTCTGTGCCAGGCACTGTTCTGGGCAGAAGCGAAATCACAGTGACTAACCCACACGAGGCCCCTGCCCTCATGGAACTCACAGGCCAGGGGAGGGGAGCGACAGGAAACCAACCCGTGAAATAGATCATTGGTTCAGAGGATGCTAAGTGCTAAGCAAAAGAACAAAGCAGGGAAGGGAGAGAGGAAGGGCCAGGGGAAGGGCTAGGATTTTAATTAAAGGGCTCAGGGAAGTCCTCATGCTTGAATGGGAACTTAGGAAAAGTAGTGGTCTGTGACACAGGTCATTTCCTGTCGTCCCAAAGCATCCCAGAGGCATGAGTTTGAATTTGAATCTGCCCTAAAGGCAATGGCTTTTTTTTTTTTTTTTTTTTTTAAACCTAGAGCATTGCTGGTTCTGTTAATGCCAGAAACTCCCTGGGTGAAAAGGATTGGCTTGAACCCATGGACTCCACGTGTGGTCCCCTGAACCAGCAGCATCAGCTTCACTTGGGAGCTGGTTAGAAATGTAGACTCTCAGACTCTGCCCACACCTGCTGTATCAGAATCTGCATTTTAAGATTGTCCTGGTGATTTTTGTACACAGTAAGGTTTGAGGAGCATTTCTCTGAGTGATCTCCAAATTCCCCTTTAGAGCTGATTTTCTTTCTCTAGATCAGGGGTCTCAAACTCGAATATGCATCAGAATCCCCTGGAAGGTTTGTTAACACACAGATTCCTGGGCCTGCCCTGGAGTCCCTCATGCAGCAGGTTTGGGGTGGAGCCCAGAATTTGTTGGCTGGTAAGTTACCTGGTGACGCTGATGCTACTGGTCGTAGGATCACATTTTGAGAACCACTGCTCTACATAAAAGTAGTAATTTGACAAAATCAAACTTTATTTTCCAGCCTGACATTTCAGCATGTGTGGTTTGTTTTTTGGATTTTTGTTGTTTTGTTTGTTTGTTTGTTTGTTTGTTTTTTATTGGTTTTTATTTTTAGATTTTTTGTTTGGTTTTGGTTTTGGTTTTTTATAGAGTGCTCAATCTTTGCTAAACTATTTTTTAGGCTTTTATATTATTACATCTCTTGGCCTCCTTCTGTAAACTTGAGTCTTGTTCATCATTATCTCTGCAGTACATTCATCTAGTAAATATTTGTGTGATAAATCAAAAAGATAAGGCATGATTGGAACCCAGAATTGTAGGTCAGACACACACACACACACACACACACACACACCCCTACATCTGAATCCTGACTCTGCCACTAACATCTGTGTGACCACTTCTGAACACCATTTCTTCTTCTGTCAAAAGAGAAAAAAATATCTACTCCACTAGATTGTTAAAAAACAAAAAACCAAAACCAAAACCACATACAAACAAATAAAAAAACCCTGAGTGAGGTAAAATAAGGTAAAATGCTCAGCCCAGTACCTGGCACATTATGAGGACATCATACACGAAAGCTAATATTGTTACTAACTTTATGGATTAATTTTGGGGTACCCCCCCCAGGAAGCCAGGATACTCACAAACGACTAACCCCCTTTCCTCCTGCTTCGTCTTAATGGCCACTTCCTCCGGAATTATCATCAGCTGTCTTGTTGGCGTTCTGAATAGAGAGATTAGCGAACTAATAGGAAATTATGCTCAGAAAGCAATTTGCAGTTATCTAAATTGAGGACTTTTCATCTAATAGGTTCATGAGCGCGGAATGGAGTTTCGTTCTAAGTGGTCGGATGTCAGCACAATCCACGTATTGTCTGATGACTGTGGATTCAGCTGCAGGAGGATGCTGATGGATTTCCCAGCTCTTAAGCATGTGTTATCTGCATCTTTCCTCCTTTTTGGGGTCTTTCCACAGGTTTCTGCAAAGCTGAGGTTTGGGTCCCTGGAAACCTGTCCACTCCTATTTTAAGATTTTATTTATTCATTCATGAGAGAGAGAGAGAGAGAGAGGCAGAGACACAGGCAGAGGGAGAAGCAGACTTCACGCAGGGAGCCTGACGCGAGACTCAATCCCGGGTCTCCAGGATCACGCCCTGGGCTGAAGGCAGCACTAAACCTCTGAGCCACCCGCGCT